TGTTGAAAGAATACTTGAGTAGAAAATGTAGAGAGGATGTGTGGCAAGGTGAGGCAGCAGCTGGCAGATCAGGATATCCCACATCTGCGTGCAGATAAAAACAGGGAGGAACAACTGGGGAACAAGACAGACCACGCAACCCGGGGTCCAAGCTTGGAAAACTAAAGCCTCAAAACTTCTGGCTGTAAAAGGCTGTGGGGGTTGCAGCAGGAACTCCCAGTCTCACAGGGGAGTTCTTTGCAGAGACCTGCGGGGTCCTAGAACATACACAAGCCCAACCACCTGAGAATCGGCACCAGACAGGCTCTATTTGCTTGTGGCTAGTGGAGGGAGTGACTGAAAGCAGGGCGAGAGCCGAGCAAGTGGCATTGTTCCCTCTCTGGTCCCTCCCCCACAAATAGCGCCACAACACAGAGAAGCAGGTTGCCCCACCCTGGTGAATACCTAAGGTGCTGCCTCTTACAATGAAACAAGTGCACCAATACAAAGAAACATGGCCCAAATGAAAGAACAGATCAAAACTCCCTAAAAAGAACTAAGTGATGAGGAGGTAGCCAACCTATCAGATGCAGAGTTCAAAACACTGGTAATCTGGATGCTCACAGAAATGATTGAGTATGGGCACAAAATACAGGAAAAAGTAAAGGCTACGCAAAGTGAAATAAAGAAAAATATACAGGGGACCAACAGCAAAGGAAAGGAAACAAGGACTCAAATTAACAATTTGGAACAGAAGGAAGAAATAAACATTCCACCAGAAGAGAATGAAGAAACAAGAATTCAAAAAAAAAAATGAGGGGAGGCTTAGGAACCTATGGGACAACTTTAATGTTCCAACCCCAAATCCTAGGAGTGCCAAAAGAAGAAGAGGAAGAGTAAGAAGTTGAAAACTCATTTGAAAAAATAATGAAGGACAACTTCCCCAGTGCAGAAGAAATAGACTTCCAGGAAGTCCAGGAAGCTCAGAAAGTCCCAAAGAAGTTGGACCCAAGGAAGCCCACACCAACACACATCATAATTACATTACCCAAGATTAAAGATAAGGAGAGAATCCTAAAAGCAGCTAGAGAAAAGGAGACAGTTACCTACAAAGGAGTTCCCATAAGACTTTCAGCTGATTTCTCAAAATAAACCTTGCAGACAAGAAGGGGCTGTTGAGAAGTATTCAAAGTCATGAAAGGCAAGGACCTCCTTCCAAGATTACTCTATCCCTCAAAGCTATCATTTAGAATGGAAGGGCAGATAAAGTGCTTCCCAGATAAGGTCAAGTTAAAGGAGTTCATCATCACCAAGCCCTTATTATATGACATGTTAAAGGGACAAAACTATGAACAATAAAATGACAACAAACTCACAACCATCAACAACTGAACCTATAAACAAAAACAAAAACAAACTAAGCAAACAACTAGAACAGGAACAGAATCATAGAAATGGAGATCAGAGGGGAGGGGGAAGGGAAAGAATGGGGGAAAGGGTACAGGGAGTAAGAAGCATAAATAGTAGGTACAAAATAGACAGGGGGAGGTTAAGAATAGTACGGGAGATGGAGAAGCCAAAGAACTTACATGTATGACCCATGGTCATGAACTAAGGGGGTGGGGGGATTCTGGAGGGAAGGCCAGTACAGGGCAGAGGGCAAGAAAGGGGAGAAAAAAATGGGACAATGATAATAGCATAATCAATAAAAATATACTTTCAAAAACTTAAAAATTAAAAAAAAAAGAAAATGTGGATTAACGTCATGGGGAGGGGCCAGATGAAGAAGTCAGGAAAGGTGGTCACCACTAGGACCATGCACAAGAACAACAGCGGGTCACAAGCATCAACCAGTCTTCCCGCAGTAAGAGTTTAAGGCCTGGCAGGGCCACCAGGATTACAGAAAGTGCTATACATTGTACACCTTAAACTTAGACAATGTTCTATGTCGATCATATCTCAATAAAGCTGGGGTGGGGTGCTGGAGCTGGAGCTTTTTTGTGGGGGAAAAAGACTTTATCAACAAAAATCTGTGTCATGCTCATAGATGCAGAGAACAGATGCCGGATGCCAAAGGGGAGAGGGTTGGGGGACCGGATGAAAAAGGTGAAGGGATTAAGAGGTACAAACTAACAGTTACAGAATACTCATGGGGGTGTAAGTACAGCAGAGGGAATATAGTCAATGACATTGCAATGACTATTATGTGTATGGTGTCAGGTGGGTACTAGGACACTTTGTAGAGTGTATGATTGTCTGACCACTATACTGTACACTTGAAACTAATACAAAATAATATTGAATGTAAACTGTAATTGAAAAATAAAATTTTTAAAAATAATTTTTGGGTTCTACTTAATATTTTATTTTTTTATTTTTAGAGAGGGGAAGGGGGGGAGAAAGAAAGGGAGAAAAACATCAATGTGTGGTTGCCTCTTGTGTGTCCCACACGGGGGACCAGGCCTGCAACCCAGGCATGTGCCCTAGACTGGGAATCGAACCAGCAACCCTTTGGATTGCAGGCCGGCGCTCAACTCACTGACCCACACCAGCCAGGGCTAAAAAAATATTTTTTAAAAAAGCAATCCATGTCAAGGAGAAGATAGAGAATCACAAAGCCCGTGCTCCTGGGTTAATGCTGTAAATGGCTTAACTGAATGGACACAGTGACTCATATCATTTATTTCATTAATGAACTTCTTAATATACACTTTTTTAATAACGTTTATTTACTGTTGATATTAATGTACTCTGGCAAACAAAAAAAAAAGACAGGATTGGCTACTTTTTCAAACCATGAGAATATATTTTCTGCTTTTTAAAATTATTTGTGAGGAAGACCATTTTGACATGTATTGTTTTCAGTGACTCATGACTTTTCAAGAATCTTATTTGTTAAAAATAGAGTTAAACCCAGAGCCTCACCTGATGCCAGATACACAGCAGGTGTCCAATTATTGCTCACAGAATGAAGAGCTGAAGAATCCCTTTATTCCTAGTACCCAGGTGTCCAGCCCAGAGAATGGCCTAATGTGCCTGGGGAGATTGGGAGAGGGTGGAGCCCAGGGCCGAGTGGAGAATGCAAGGACCTGGGGTCTGGGATGGTGAACTCTGGCCAAACCCACCGCCCACTCCTGGTCCCAAGAGTCCTAGTGTGGGGCGAAGACACAGTCCCTAGGATATGCAGGTATTTTCCTAGGGAAAACCACTAACACACCAGCAGGCAAATGCCAACATCGTAACTGGCAGAAATGACCTATGATTCCATTCTTTTATTTAAACCTTTCATCTTGGGCCCATGAAAAAGATGGGCAACGTTAGGGGGGCAGCAGGCTGAACTGGCCTACGTGACCTCAGGCAAGTCCCAAGTCCCTGTCTCTGAGCTCAGCTGTGTTATCTATAAAAGGAGAAGTCGGTAAGTCCCTCCTGCTCGTTCTGTAGTTGTGGGTTGGAGATGATGACAACGGCTCTGGGTCCATCCTGGACCAAAGTCACAGAGATAAAACAGTCTCAGGGACGAGGGAAGGGGCAAGGATTTTCCTGCTGAGCCTGTTTGCTAAGACCCCCTGCCTGGCCCCTTCGGGGGGGAAACTGTCCAGAACCCCAGAGAGGACTCAGCCAGGAGTTTCTCTGCTCATGAGCCGTCACAGCTTTGAGTCACAAAGTCCAAGAATCCTTATCGGCTTCCCCTGTACAGTGACTCAGGCCAGCTGGGGTTCAGCCAGGCAGGGGTTTTCTGACATGCAGGAGGCTGGAAGCAGAGAGGGGGTTCCTCCTTCCAAGAAAGCAGATGCAAACCTAACAAGTTCTGTTTTCGATTATGTGAAAACCCCCTTCACCTTGTGCCCAGCCTCCCCTGGGGGTGCAGGGGCAGAGGCTCGGCCCCTCAGGAAGCCCCAGTCAGAACTTGAGGGCTGAAGGGCAGAGGGGAGAAGCTGGACCCACAGAACAGAGGCATTTTCATGCTTTAGAGCAGCTTTTGGTTGGCTTTCTTAGTTACCAGGAGTAAGTACTCTTACAGAGCAGGCGTACACTGAACACATCACAAATACTACCTTCCTAAAGTTTCCTGGTTATCCTGTGAGGTCAGTCAGGACAGAGTCCCCATTTTACAGGTGAGAAACCTGAGGCCCCAGAGAAGTGGCGCGATTTGCTCAGTCACATGGCAGATACGGGTGTAGGAGTGTAAGACGCCACAGGTGGGGGGATGGCAGTCTTCTCTGGGTCACAGTCACAGAGTCACCAAAGAACTGAAAACTGAGCACAAGGGAATTGTTCCTCGAAGATGCCAAGGGAGGGGGACAGGGCCGTGGCCTCTGCTTGGGAAGAGTCCAAGACACTGAGAGCCACGAACAGGAAACAGGGAACAGCACTGGGTTCTGGAGAGACATCCCAACTCTGGAAGTCTCTGTTTTTCCATCTTTATACCTCACAGGCTTGAGGTGTGAATTGAATGATAAAATGTAGGTAGGACCCAGGGCACAAGGTCTGCACACAGTAAGCACTTAAATGTCAGGTAAAATTATTGTTATTATTATTAAAGGTTGATAAAGCAATAATCCTTTTGTCTGCTCCATACATCAGCCCCTGAGGGTGGGTTTTCATGAGCATGCCCCTTTCATGGTCATGACAGATGTGGCAAGCTGAGGCTCAGTGAGGGAACTCTGCTTCCTTCTTCCAGAAATTGAAAGAGTTGGGCTGGTTACTCTCAGCGCCTGGGCAGGCAGCTGGGGTAAGGCAGGGAGAGAGTTCATGCTCTGGGCCCCCACTCAGCCCCAGGGATGATGCTCAGCCTACCCACAGAATGATGCCCCATAATATCCTGGATGTGAGCCTCCCAGTTCTCAGCAGGTCCAGGTCCCCCAGGCAGCTTTAAGGTCTGAGACAACAGATGTGACCCTGGGAGGGCAAAACCCGCATGGGGATCCTGCTGCCCTGGGAGGAGGGAGGAGGCCGCGCAGCCAGCTGCCTTCACAGGAGACTCGGTCTTGGTCCCTCAGTGCCCCGAGTCCATGTGCCCCTCACGGAGAGACTTCTAGCATCTCCTCCTTGAAATCCATCTTGTCCTGCTCCTGGCTCTCCAACTGCTCCAGGCGGCTGCCCTTGTCCTGGAGGATCTCCCCGGGTATCTTCAGAAATCTGGAATCAGGTCCCAGCTGCAAATCAGCCACTGCCCCAGTCGGGGGGCTGCTTCCTGCCCACCCATCCCCAGCCCTGCTTCCCCTTCGGACCTCGACCCCAAAGCTACTCGCCTGAACAGAAGTTTCTGCCTGGGCTCCTTCTTAATGATGTTCAGCTTATAATAGTGGCGGAGGGCGCGAGACATCTTCTCATAAGTCATGTTCACCCGGTTCTGGAAGGCAAAGCAGCACATTACCCCCACTCCCCACCTCGTTCCTTCCAGGCCTCAGTTTCCACACACGGAAGGGAGCAGCCCAAGGTTCTGTAAGAGCGCGTGAGAGTTCTCCTGAGTTTGGAAGGAGGAAGTCAGGGGAAGGTCGGGGAAGAAGTGGGGTGATTCTCTCATCCACCTGGCTGAGAACCATGGGGCAGGAGTGAATAACATGTGCTTTTAAACAGCAAATGTCACAAGCAGCAACAAATAAATATACATTGAGTTGGAAATGTAATCAGAGAGATAGCCTGAGGGGGCACGAGGGCCAAGTCATTTCCCCTGTCTGTGGGGCGGGCAGTGCGGAGTCCGGCAAAGCGGCTGGGCTGTGGTGTCAGTTTAAGCCCCAGCTCCGCCGTTCGCAGCCCAGTGCCGGTGGATGAGCTTCTTTACCTCTCTGAATCTGTGTCTCTGATTATAAAATGAGAATAGCAGCGTGTGTCTCACAGGTTTGTGTGAAGGATTAAATTGCTGATCCATGAGTGCACTTAGCACTACATACTCACTAAATGAGTTTACTACTCTCTGAGCCTCAGATCCTTCCCCCCTCCCCACCCCATCCTTTGCAGGGGCTGGACCAGTTAAGCACACCCAAACTTTAGTCATTTGCATCCTTCCAGCCATCAGCACTACTGAGAGGTGACAAAATAGAGTACAGAGCTACAGTCTGGGTTCAAGTCCCCACTCGGCCACTTCGTGGCTACAGACTCTTGGACAAGTTGATAAACCAATCTGCCCCCCGCCCCCCACCCCTGCCCGGCCTTTTCCCATCTGATAATACCTACATTCCTGAGGCTGTTATGAGGGTTAAAGGAGTAAATGCAGGTAAAGCCTTCAGAGCACTGTCAGCCAATCAAATGCTATACCATTTTAGGAAATGCTACATATTGCAGACTATCATTATTGTTAACAGTTGTCTTGAAAAGACTTTTTTTTTTACTTAAATGAATTAATTTATAGATAAGGACACTTGCTTTATATCACCACTGTAAGTCATGAGATTGGCATGATAGTTAAATTTTAAATCCTAATTCTTAGCAAAATAAATACTTAGCTATTAGAATCCCCTGGCAGACACCCGTTTAGGTGTGGGCGTTCCTCGCGCTGGGAATGTGGGACTCAGGGACTCCCAGGCCTTCCCGGCCCTGACACCAGACACTCCCACGGGGCCTGAGACTTGGATTTCTGTCTCAGCTGCTCCCAGGGAACCAGCTTCCTCATCTGGCCCAACCACCCCCCACCGCATACAATGTGCAATTCATGTAAACGTGCTTTGAAAGATTGCAATGCTAAGCAAAGGTGGGATGAAGCACTTAGAAGGCAAGGTTCCCAAGTTCCAAGAATAGTCCCCATCGTCAAGATGTAACTGTCTGTTCCCCAAGATCTCCCAAAGTAAAATGACCCCAACACTTTCTAGGGCTGCGGGTAAAGACCCCATCAGTTAGGACTATGCCCCAGTGCTGAGGGTCCACTCTGACCCCCGGGCCCTGTCCTCCTCTGGGTATGTTGAGACCATCCACCTGCTGGCTGCAGTTCACCTTGTGGTTTCCCCAGAGTCTGGCGAGCCCATTAGGATCCACAACTCGGAAAATCTTGGCGTTCTTGTCTTCCCACCTGATGTAGGACTCATACCTGCTGTCCGAGAGCAGCTGGTACACGTAATCCCACAGCAGCCGGCAGTCTGCAAGGGAGCACAGGGGTGTCGACAGGGTGCCTTCCTGGAGCTGTGAGGATGGGCACTCTGGGCCCCGCGCGGCTGGGGCCCGGGTGTGCGGCAGGGTGGTGTTACATGGTATTAACAAAACCAGGGGGCCCATTACTCATTGTCTCATCCCATCACCCGAACCGTAGGGGGTATCTACCTTATCCCCAGGAAGAGATGAGGCAATGGCCTCAGAGAGGTACAGATGTGTCCCAAGGCACCAAGCTCCTGCAGGCAGAGCAGGGAGTCTACCCCGGCGCTGCACACCACCAAGCCTGTGCCCTCCCCTCAGACGCAGGCGGCGTCCAGGCCCCTCTCTGCCCCTGGCCCAGTCACTCAGCCCCCTGGACTCTGCCAAACCAGGTTTTCGCATCCATCTCCACTCTAACAGGAGATTTGGGAAAATCAAATGTGCCATCGTGGGGGGCCAGCAGCAGAGGGGGCCCAGGAGCACTGAGATTGCTCTTCCGCTACCTGGGCCTCCACGCCATTTTCCTCATTTGGCCTGACGCAAGCTTGAAATAAGACGGTAGACGACAACAACAACCCTTAGCCCAGCGCCTGGTACAGAATAAGTGCTCAAAGAATGTTAAGCATTATTATTTTCAAAAACTCAAAGAATTATGCTTTAGTGATTCCTGGTCATTTCCAACCCAGAAGCCAAGCTTCTTCCCGCTCTGTGGTGTCATAGAATCAATATAGTGGCCCCAGCATGGCTAGAAAACACCCTTTGGGGCTTATCGGTCAGTCCGTCCGCTTGCCTGCCTGTTAGTCAATCCTTTAACAACAAATGTAAAGTGCAAGTGTATCACCTGGTTGGAGCACAGGCTCTGGAGCCAGGCTGCCTGGGTCCACATCCCAACTCGGCCACTCACTGCTTGTGTGAACGTGGGGAGGTCACGCCACCTCCCTGTGCCACATTTTCCTTCTCTGTGATGGGGCTAATAATAATACTAACTTCAAGGGCTGTTGTGGGATTAAATAAAGAACCATCCCTGGCACATACTAAGCACTCAGCTATTTAAAAGTAAATAAGGTTTTAAATCCTAATCTGACCGACAGCCTGACTATGACTGGCCTGTCTCTGCTCTGGTGACAGGGTGAGCTTGGCAACCCGGGCAGCTCTGCTCCCTGCGGCCAGACTGCGGCCAGAACATGGGACAGTCATCCCACACCCCTCTCTCCCAGCACAGACAGACCCTTTCATCCCCTAGAGCAAAACTTCCCTCCTCCTTGTCACCTGTGACCTCGCCCCAGGCCAGGGGAGCAGAGCCTCCTACCCACCTGCGATCCTGCCATCGGTGGGGGCCTTCGGCATCGGGGGGAAGGAGCAGGTGCCCTCAGCCCTACAGCCGAGCTCCGCACAGTGAGATAACTTGCGAGGCTCCTCCCTGCCAAGGGGGCACCTGGCCAGGCCAGGGGCATCCAGGTGACTCAAGGAGTTGGTAAGCCCCAGATCTGGTGGCTGCTGCAGGAGGCCTCTTTGGGGGCCCACCTGGGAGGGCCTGGTCCCCTCTGCAAGCAAATGAGCACCGTTGATTCTGCGGAATCAGAGCCTCCCCCGGCCCAGGCCCTGGAAACGTCGGGCCCGGGAGCCAGTGGGGCAGCACCCCCAGTGCCCCTCCTCCACCCAGCCCCCGGCTGGGAGCTCAGCGAGGCGGTGGAGGGCGTGGGTGCGACAGCCCGGGTCTAACCCCGGCTCCCAGACCGGTCGCCACATCTCTCAGGCCTGTTCCCTCATCTGTAAAGTTGTGCGCAAAGCAAGGGGTGACAGAGCCAGGTCCGGAGCCCTGTATCTCAGTCCAGCATCTCCTCCATCCACCCAAAAAATATTCATTGGGAAAGTTCTACAAGCCAGGCATTGTTCTAAGAATCTTGGGGACACATCACTGAACCCCCCAAAAGCCCCTGCCTTCATGGTGTGTTACATTCTAGTTGAGGGTGGAGAGAGATAGATGATTAAAATGAAAAAGGACATAGAAACAGTATATAATATGGAGAGTAAAAATAAAGTACCATAAAGCAGATAGGAAATCCTGGGAAAAGTGCAGGTGTATGTTGGTCAGGGAGGGTCTCACTGACATGTTAACATTTGAATCGACACCTGAAGGATGTTAACATTTGAATCGACACCTGAAGGAGCTAGAGGAGTGGGCTGTGTATCTAGAGACAGGCCAGGCAGAGGGAACAACTGCAAAGGCCCTGGGGCAGGAGTGTCTCTGGCTTGTTCAATGAAGGAGGCCTGTGTGGCTGGAGCAGCATGAGCCAGGAGAGGGGTGGCAGAGGATGGCAGAGGGTCAGGGGGTCATTGTAAGGACTGTAGCCTTGATTCCGAATGAGATGGGAGCCATTGGAAGATTCTGAGCAGAGAAGTCACGTGACCTAATAAATCCCTGCAGCTGCTCTGTTGAGAACAGATCATAGGACGTCAAGAGTAAAAGCAAGAAGACCAGTGAGGAGGTTTGAGGCTAGGAGAAAAAGAAAGCAAAGAAGACATCCAACGTTTTGCCCAGAGCAATTGGAAGGAGACAGGAAGACTTGGGGGGAGGCAGGAATCAGGTGCTTGCTCTAGGAGTTGAGTTGCTGTGGGAGTTGAGATGCCTGTTGAACATCCCATGAGCCAGTGGAGGGGTGGGGCAAGCAGTATGTGGAGCTCAAGTCTGGAATTCAGAGAGGTCCAGGTATACACGGGAGTCATCGGCGTTAGATGGTATTTCCCACCTGAGACCAGGTGAGATTACCCAGGTCTGAGTGCAGATAGAGAAAAGGCTCCCTGAGCTCTGGGGTACCCCAACATGTAGAAGCAGGAGAGAAGAGGAGAAACCAGGAGACCGAGAAGGAATGGCCTGTGGGGCATCCTAGAAGCTAAGGGAAGAGCAGGGAAGGAGACTAGCCCACTGGGTGGGAGGCTATGAGAGATCACAGTGAGTGGACTGGTCATCCCTAAGTTCCTGTCCCTTGAGACCCTGACAAAAGTGGTTTCCATGGATTAGGAAAGAAACAAACACCTTACAAAAAACCCATTGCTGGAGAGGAGAGCAGAGCAATGAGGAGGCAAGAGACAAAGCCTGTTGGCCACAGGGCTGCACCAGGGGCTGCCTGTCAGAGGGTCCCGGAGGGCAGGAGGTGGGGGCTGGGGGGCAGGGAGCAGGCAGGGAGCTCCCACACCTCTGCCTCTGTCGTGACTTTGCCTGAAGGGAGCCCTGCCCTCCCGATGAGGCCGATGTGGGAGAGGGTCTCAGAGTTCCACTAAGGGTCTCCTCACCTTCCAGGGAGTAGGGGCAGTACCGACTGGTCATCTTCTGCCGAAAGGTCCCTCCAAATAAAGGGCCACATACCAGGGCTTGCCGCTGCGTCTTGATGTACTGGAGCAGCTCATACAGGACATCACCTGGGGGTGGGGCGGGAGGGGAGCTGCTGACCAGGCTGGGTGGGGAGGTCCAGCCTCGCTCTCGTGCAGTCACCTGCCTCTTGGATGGCATGTCCTGTCACAAGCTTTGTGGTAATAGATATTAGAGGCAGTAGCGTGGTAAGGGAGACAGGGCCGCAGGGAATGGGCTGAGAAGGCGAGAGAACAGGACAGACCCGTGGGGCTCGAAAAACAACAGCCAGATTGACTCCTCTGCTGCTGACAGGCTCTGGTGGGAACGACCAGGCAAACATTTATGGGAAGAGGGCTGTCAGCAGTGCTGGGAGGTGCGCATGATCCTCAGACAAACGCCCCCTCCTTCCCTCTCCTTGGTCCTACCTGGGTTTCCATCGGTTTAGAGCAAAGCCAGTGAGTTTCCAGACCTGAACCTGGCGCGCGGAGCCGGAAGTCGTCCTTGGTTAGGATGCAGAGGGCGCGGCCGTTCATCTCGAAGCCGTGCTCGCTGGTGCGCTGCAGAGAATACTCCCGCTCGGCCCAGCTCAGCCAGTGCAGCACATCCTCCCGGCTCCAGAGCGCAGGCTGGATCCCTGCAACCACAGGACGCGGGCTGGGGGCGGGCGCGAGGCTCTGCCCCATCAATCTCTCATCCTCAGGTTCAGGCCCTTGCTTGAATGTCACCTCCTCAGAGAAGCCCATCCTGAACACCCCATCCGTGCAGATGCCCTCCTGCCCTGTCCCCCAAGCCCAGTCATTGCCTCTGTCACCATGTCCTGTTCTTTCCCTTCCTGGAATCTTACTTGGAATTCTACTTTCTTTTTCATTACACTTTACATTAGGTATATGTTCATGATTATCATTATCTATGCATTTTGTATGTATTCACTTATTTGTATTGGCGGCCCCCTCCCACCCCCCTTACCCCAGCCTGTCTTCCAATTATTCATTGAACAAATGTTTAATGAGGAGCTGCTCTGTGCAGGCACTGCTCTGGGTGTGCCAGGGCACACTGTACATGTTCCAGGACAGTGCCTGGGACATAGTGGGTGCTCCGTAAACACATGCCAAATGATTGCATGAATGACCAACAAGTCCTACAAAGGAGTTACTGCTACTGTTTTCCAAATAAGGGAACGGAGGCTCCCAGAGGTTAAGTGACACAGTGACATGAGGTACAACCAGGCCTGGAACGAGGTCTGCTTGGCTGCTGTACTCTTTTTCTCCTTTGTGACAGCTCAGACCTGGGTTTGCTCAGGGAACAGCCCAAGAGGCAGTGGAGTCTCCACCCACCTTCAGCTTGTGTTCTTACCTCTGGCAATACCCAGGCAAGCGGCCGCCTCTTTTTACTCCCCCTGTGCTTCTGCTCCGCCGTGGCCGTCTGCTCCTAGTGCCAATTATCTACCGCCCTAACCGTGCCTGTTTAGCAGGGCCACAGCATGACTCTCGCACACCCTTGGCATTCTTGCCTTCATGGGCCCCTTCCTGAACTAAAAAAATTTTCAATTATACTTTATGACTGCATTGGCATAAAGGAGGGTATATTGTATATATTAAAACATTTTCCCTTATCTAAAATTTTTTTTTCTTCTGATTTCAAAAGAAAGTGGAATATTTTTCACGGGCTCCTGAAAGGACTAGGGCCCCGGCACTGCGGCCCTGTGATAAGCCAGCCTGGGGCTCTGAATTCCTCGCTGTGGGGCTTGTCCAGAGCGTTGTAGACTGTTTAGCAGCATCCCTGGGCTTTACCCACTAGAAGTCACTGGCACACACACACACGCCCACTTGTGACAACAAAAAATGTCCGCAGACATTACCCACTGTCCCCAAGGGGCAGGGAACAAAAACGCTGCCAGTTGAGAACCTTTGTGATAGAGCAGCCCCACTAACAGCATGTGGGAAGATGTCGCCTCACGAGTCAGGGCGAGGCATGATCACAGAAGAATGAGATGCCATTTTCATAACACCTGCACCTGGCAGGAATGCACGACGCCTTGCTGGTGGAAATAGGAATTCAGAGCCTCGGTGGGAGTTCAGCCTGGCGATGGCGTGAGATATGAAAGGCTGTGTAGGTAACACTCAGAGGTCGCATTCAGGTGTCTGGGCTGGGCTGACACAGCCAGTCAGGGTGTCCAAGGCTTCGGGGCCAGTGGCTTTTTTTTTTTTTTTTTTTTTTTTTTGCTGTTTTGCCTATTTTATAATGTTTGAGGCTGTCAGTCTGAAAATCTGAAACTATGATTCCTGAGTCAGAGGCGTCCATTTTCCTGTGTTTGGCCGGGGTGCAGGAACGGATTCCATCCGCTCCCCAACACCACCCTCCTGGCTGTTCTGCCTCCATGAAAAAAACTGCATCTGCACTAAGAGGGGGAAACCCTGAACTTACATACATTATCAACCACAGACGTGGTTCTGCTCCCAGCTCCACAGAGGTGGGCAGGAGATGTCCCAAGCTGCCTCTGAGGGACCCTAAGGTCACATGCAGCCCACAGCAGCACCCGAGACCTCAAAGCCTGCAGTGGAATTTGTTTTTTCTTTCATTATGTTGTGCTCAGTCCTACCCTCACCTGCCAGCACCTCCAGTCCCATAAAGAAAAGTGACCTTCTGTCCCATGTCTTCAAAGAATGCTAAGGTCAAAAGGCTTTTCAAATAGGACATGCACCCTAGGAAAGGGCCAGGTTCCAAGCAGTGGGTCAGCCACCAAGCTTGGGGCCGAATCCCCGATGTCAGTGTTTGGGTTCCAGCTCAGTCCCTTACTAACCAAGTCACCGTCAACCTCTCTCAGCCTCTATTTCCCCCTTTGTGAAACAGGATGATAGCACTAACTCTCCACGATGCTGTGCTGTATGAGGGGCAGTGTTATGCAAAGGTTAGGAGCCCAACATTTCGACCCTAAGTAAAGACCTAAGAGACACAGTGACCGAATCCACCGAAAGACACATATGCAAATGTCTGCTGTGGCTCTGTTCACAATAGAAGAGAACTGGAAACATCCCACATATCATCAGCCAGAGAATGGACAAATTATAATGTTTTCATGCAATAAATGCCACTTGGTAATGAACCAGAAAGTACAACCAAGTGCTACTCACAATATGTGAATAAAACTTAAAGATACTACATTGGGGAAGGAAGCCAGACGTAGAAGTGCTCCTCCAAGGAGAGAAATCAGAAGCGTGCTGGCCTTTGGAGGGGAATTGACTGGGAAGGGGTACAAAGGAACTTTCTGGGGCATTAGAAAATGGTCTAGATCTTAATGTACATGGTGACTACACAGGTGTTCATACATAGAAAGTCATAGAGTTAGAACTCATAAGTAGCACACTTGACTGTATGTAAGTTATACCAAAAAAAAAAAAAGTAAAAGTGAAAACATACAACAACAAAAAGTACCCATGATGGGGCAAGGCCAGCTGGGACCTAAATGACTGTCCCAATTTCCTCATCTGGACCAGCCTCAGCAACCAAAACAAGAACAAACAGTACCAGCCACCCAAGGCTACCACGAGGACTCTGTGAGAGAATCCATTTAATGCCCAGTGTCTGGCATGTGGCATATGCTTTCTGAGACAAACAGCACTCTTAATGTTAGATGAGGTCACACGTGTAAAAGGCTTGGCAGAGGGCACAGCTCACCTACGACCTCGACAAGTGCCAGTGAGCGTGGTGTCCACTCCCCTGCGTAATCTCCCTGACCTAGTGACTGGGACGGGCCTACCTGGGTCTCTCCCACCAGTCTAACCCCACGTCTGGGGCTTCTCCTGCAGACCAGCCCATGGCTTTTCCTTCTCTCGGCTGTGGTCCCTCACAACGACCATCTTTGTCTCTTAAGACTCCAGCCAGATATCGCCTTACTCTCCCTGGCCCAAGATTTGCTCACTGAGAATTTCCGGCTTGGCTCGCTCCCAGTTTTTGGACAAATCTGAACAGAGACCCTACTGGCTGGGGCAGCGGGGGGAGCTGCCTCTCCAGGACATGGTGGGAGGGCTCAGATGTCTCCCTGAAGAGTCAACACTCCATCCCCCTCTCCCAGAGCAGGGCTGGATGTGGGGGCGCCCTCCCTCCTCAGCTCTATCACCCTCACTGCCCTCGCCACTGACCTTACTGCTTCCTCATGGAGCCACTGCACCCTCCACTAGGACGTCAGCTCCATGAGGCACAGACTTTGTCAGTCTCCAGCACCTAGAGCAATGCCTGCCACATCGTAGATGTTCAACAAATATAAATTGCCTACATGAAGGAGCTGAGCAAATCAGTGAGGGCCAAAATGGCCCTGGGCATCCTGACTAACCCCCTCTCCAGCCTCCCCAGCCCCAACCAACCAGGTCTCTCTTCCCACAGCATCCCTTTCACTCTCTTACTCAAGAAACTCAAGTGGCTCCTAACCATGAACCCCATTAAGTCAAAACTCTTTCACCCTGGTTTCCAGACTCCCTCAAGCTACCCCTCCCCACCTGATCAAAGCTGTTTCCTGCTACTCTTCATCACTCCCTGCAGATTACCAGGTCAAGCGACTTCCAGGAGCAACAGAGCTGGACCGACCTTCAGCATCCAAATCAGAACCGACAGCTGACTTCTACCTACCTGGCAGGGCCTCCAGGATGAATGCAGGACACAATGTAAAGTGCTTGGCTGGTCCCCTAAAAATGGGAGCTGTCAGGATCTGATGCTGGAAGCTGTTGCTCAGCGTGAGTGACAATTATAGGGTCTGAAGGATAGGGGTTCAAATTCCAGCTTCACCATTTTACTCATGGTTGACTATGGATGAAATCATTCACCCCACTCTGAGGCCAGTTTTCACTCTCTAAGGTGGGGACAATAACAGAACCTACTTCCCAGGTCTACTGAGTGCATTTAATCAGACAGTGTATTTATGAGATATGCCCAGATCAAGAGTAAAAACTCAGTAAAAGTCCTTTGTTATGATTATCCACATCTTCACTGGGGAAGGCTGCCTGAAAACAGAGGGACCAGCTTGTATCTCTGCCACCATAACTGTGGTTCAGCATCAACATTGTCCTTAGTTTATTTTGTGACATTGTCCCTCTAATCTGTCACCCTATCGCTTGCCCTAGTTGTTTGGCCAATACTGCTTTTCTCGGTAATCACACTCAGCTTTATGGTCGTCACCTGACTGTGGGGGCAGGGCCTGCAGAGGACAGCTGCGTTCGCGGCCCTGACACACATCGGACACATCGAACAGGCGGAGCGGGAGAACGGAGTGAAACCCAGCTAGGGCTTAGCTTGGTTTCTCCTCAAAGGAGGGGTCTCTTCCATTTGCACAAAGATTCATACAGCCCAGGCCACGCCCTGATTTTAGAGGGAAAAGCTGTTTGTCCTCAGATTGTTGGTTCTGGGAATCTCCCATCTTTTGCTGTTTGCCATAGTCCTTTTCACTGTCAGGTGATGAACACCACTGTCAATTCTCACAGCTTCCAGAACCTTCTCTTCCAGTGTCCATCCTCCCCACACCACCCCACCTTTGTGCCTTTATCCCTGTATCCATCTAACTTACCGCCTCTAATATGCCGTCATCCAGGGCAGTGTTTCTCAAACTATTCAGACCTCAACCCACAGTAGGAAATATCTTATGTCATGACCCAAGACATGTATATACAAAAAGTCACAACAAAGTGTTCCTGAAATCACAGCTACCTTACTCTGATATACACTATTTCATTTTGTAAACCTACTTATGTTGATCCACTAAGTTGATTTCACCCCCATTGGGATCTTGACCGGCACTTTGAAAATCACTGCTAGGATTTAGCTGCATAAATGAGGTCCTCAGATGCATCTCCAGCAGAAGCAGCACTTAGAGTTTATTAGAGATGCAGAATCCCAGGCCCCACCTGGGACCTACTGACCCCAGGAGATTCACAAGCACATTAAAATTTGAAAAGCCCTGCCCCAGGATACCAGGGAGCTACAGTTGTTAGAGCTGTACCCATTAAAATAAGCGCCAGCACTCTGCTAGAAGTAAAGGACACGAGCTTGAGCAGGGCCATGAAAACTCTGTTGGAGCTCATCCAGGGCTCTTTTCCCTTACTCACCCTGCACAGAGTTGCAAAGAGATGCCACCCTTCTGCCTGTGACATCTGAAAATTAGAGGTGGCACTCATGTCTCTTCCTGTGGCTTAACCAGAACTAGGAGCTTTGAAAGTTAATGTCAAAACACAAAGATCTCTCAATCCTTCTACAGCCAAAAGTGGGTAGGTTCACAGCACTTTTTTCCAGGAATAAGCTCCTGGAAAACGAAGAGCCTTGGGACCAAGAACTGAGTCTTGGGGTGAGGCCCCGTCTGATCTTTGGCTTCAAAGATGACTCTTGTCTCAGGGAGTCTGTTTCTCTGTCATCAAATGAAGCTGTGCTAGTGATCATGTCTAAACTGCCTCCTCTCAAAATCCCCTGAGTTGTCCCTTGAAGTGGCATCACCTCCTCCCAGACTCACTCCCCTGTGACCTAGCCTGGGGCTCGAAAGGGGTCATAGGGCCACAAGGGCTTCCTGGCTCCTGGCTCCACCCCCCACCCCCACCACCCAGCCTCAGGCAGGCCCTTTCTCTTTCCACTTGCACAGAGGGACACAAAGTTGTGAGTCTCTTTTTGTGGGCAGGGGTCACTCCGCCAGAGCCCCTGCGAATCCATCCCTCCACCCGGCCCACCTCCTGCCCCTAGACATCACAGTCGTCCTCAGGGCGCACTTTCCACTGCCTACTGCCCGCCTTGTCAGGCAAATAAACACGGAAAGGGAGCCTAATGGGGCCCTAGCTCATGGGCTGCACTTGGCACTGACTCACAAAGCTGAATCAGATTTGTTTTGTTTTTACACCTTCCTGTTGAGGCAAATCAGCCCTGATGATTAGAATGGAAGCGGAGGTGAAGGAGGGAATGGGGTGGGGGAGTAGGAACAAATGTCAGAGAGATGCCCAGCAAGGGAAACCCAATTTCCAGAAATGTAAGAATCAGGCTGACAAACCCTCATCTAAAAGGTCAAACCCTCATTAGGTGTCAGCAGTTTGCTTATTTCTGCTGTTGTTGACAGGAAAATGAGTCATTTAGAGTACTCTATCTTTTAAGACTGTTAGATATTTACTAAGGGCCAGAACTGTGCTGTCTGAATGTTTTCACAAGTAACTATGAGTCATGGAATCTACTAAGAGAAATAGAGAAGATGCTGTTGGTGCCCCGCCCATGGCGCTTGGCTCTCCCCTCTACACTCTGAAGGCGACCAAACGCTGCCCTTTACTCTGCTCCTGACTCAGCCAGTGAACGGGGCAACCTGGAAAGCTGAGGAGTCCATACCCCTGGAAGCAGCCATCATCCCATCAGGATGAGAAATGAGTGGATAAGCTTCCTTACCCCTGGGTTGGGGTAACTCAGAGTGAGTTCTCACTGTCCCCAAAAGGTCCTCATTGGGATTGAGCTCCACTCGCCCACAGAGCTAACTGGCCTGAGAGAACAACTTTTGAATTCCTTCTCTCCTCTGTGGAGTATTTCAGGGTCTGCTTCCCAAGAAATCTAACCCAAGGCAATAGGATTAGTAAGGCAGGAGCTCTAGATAGGTCACATGACCCTGTGATCTGAGCTGAGTAATCAGGGAATAGGCTGGCTCTAGAGGGGAGGAAATTCCTGTCCTTAGAAATGCTCATAGAGGCCTCACTGAAGGGGGTTTCAAAAACGAAAAGGTTTGGTAGTTGCATTCACCAAGGTGGTGACTAAAGTTTCCAGGTCCCCGCTTCTGCACCCCCTCACCCAGGAGCCTTGAGCTAGGCGCACAACAGAAGGCAGGAGGATGACGGGTACTTGTTCTTGGGCAGAACAAATCTCCTGGGTCTCGATTTCCTATTTGGAACATGAGGGAGTTACCTGAGGTGACATCTAGGATCTCTACCAGCTTTGAAATCCCGGGACTTGGTGAGCCAGTTGTGGGAGTGGTCTTTGAAGGTGGGGGAGGCTGTGGGGAAAAATCCAGAGGCCCCTGTGGGACCTGCAGAGAAGCCCCTCCCTCTCTGAGGCTCTGTGTCCTCAGGGGCTATGAGGAGACTGGATTAGAACCTCCAAGGTCCTGCTCAGCAGCAACACTCAGGGCCCTCAGGTATGTCCCCAAGGTCCAGTTTTTCCTCATCATCATGGCTTGGGCTGGGAATCGAGCCCAAAAATCCTACCCTCCATGTAACTGTTGCAAATATCTCCTTGGAGCAGCCCTGAGCCCCAGGCGACCAGCCAGGGTTGGCATCTGAACAAAATGAAACAATAGAGGTTCCTCACAGAGCTCCCCGCCCTTCTCCCTACTTCCCTCTGCTGCTCTGAGGCACCAGAGCATCCCCCACACTCTGGGCTTCTCTCCTGTCCATGCGTCCATGTCTTGGTCCATACTTTCCTTTTAATCATGGAAAGACAGGCCCTGCTCCCCATTCAAAAAATGCCAGGCAGCAGATAACAGAGGCACTAGGGGGCAGCAGGGTCTTCCCAAGGGCAGTGAAGTCCTACCCCACATTCTGCCCAGTCCTGTCAGCACCTCAGAAAACACTCTGTGGCCAGGAAATCAGAAGGGTGTGAAATCAATAAAGCAGTGTTCTAGCCAGGGGGAGGTAGTGCTTTACAACACAGGTCAGACATGCCTTCCCTCAGCTGCCAGGACCCCCACCCACATCAAAGATCCCTCCCGTCAGCTAGCTGCCTATCCCGTGATTTCCACAGTTTAGGAACTGCATTTAAAAATCTCTTAGAAGATTATCAGCAGGACCAAGTTTGAGCCTTAACATGAAGAGCCTATGTGATCTTCAACATGACACTCAGCTTTGCCATTTGAAACACTCTGCTCCATGGTTACGAGTTTCCTCGGGCAAGAGCATTATTTAGAAAATGAAATGAAAGACATGGCCAATACATTTCCTGTCGTTATTTTGGGGTGGAATTTTTTTGTTTGTTTATTTGGTTGGATTTTTAAAATTGTTTTACAACTTACATTCTTTTTAAAATTTTTGTATTTTTTAATATCATTTATGCCCCCATATCCTCTTCTACTTCTACCCATCCCCTCCCCCTGCCCCGCAATCACCACAAATTTTGGGGTGGAGTTGACTGTTCTATATATATTCTTCTTATGCTTCTCTGTCATTTCCCAATTTTAGATAAGCACATGCTACTTTTGTAACAATAAAAAGTAAACATAATTATTTGAAAGAGAGTTCTACATACATACAGCTGTTGTCTGTTTAGCTACATCTGGCTTCCTCACTGGCAACGACCCCAACTCTTGCTCTTTAGGTTGGAAGGGACCCTCATCTTACCAGTGAGGAGACGGGCACCCTCATGCTTGGTCACGCCACCTGTATTCTCTGCAAGGAGAATTCACATTTACCTCCTCTGACTTCCTCACCAAGGAGCAGGTAAAGAAAACCCAGCAAAGAAGTAGCAAATGGGGGGACGTAAAATCCTTAAACAAGAAAAGTTTATGCATCACATATATGTCCTTTAAAAACATCACCCTTTCCCCTCCCCTCTACTCACGGAGTCTTCCTGGCAGCTTGCAGATCCCCCCCTCACCCAGCAGCTTCACTCGGGCTTCACATCTAGCTTGGGCCTGGGTGCCTGGAGGTGGCGTGGCTGTCAAGGGGCTCCCAGGAGAACCGGCCAATGCTGCCTCCTAGAGAGAGGAAAAACCAGGGACGTCAGAGGTGAGCGTCTTGGTGTAGGCTCCATTATCCTTAAATGTATTAAGAATTCTTTTCCAAGGGAAAGAGCATCTACCTCCGCGTCTACCATAAAAGTAGGAAACATGTATGTCTTCAGCTTGATACCATTAACATTGTGGGCACTCAATAAATTTCATCTTTCCTACTCAAGCTTTTCATGCATGTGCCTATCCCCATCAGAAGGTTGCCCTGCCGAGACCTGACTTACAAGCTGGAAATCTGAGGGTCCAATAATACTCAGTGGGAACCTGAGGGGCCAGGATAAAAAGACGTTAAACCAGACATAAACAAACAATTACATGGTATTTTCAAAAGAGAAAAAGAAAGGATGAATTTCTGAACCCCGAAGTCCCACCAAGGGATGTCTGTATCTTTACAATTTTACAATCAGCGTAGCCCTCAGAGGATGCATAGCTCATTCATCAGGAGGAAGGGATGAAAAAAGTGGCAGAATTTTGTAGAAACAGGAGGACCCTTAGGGCTCACTTCCAGTCACAGGCTGCCATATCATAAAAAGTGAAAGTGAAACCCGTCCCAGCAAGAGTCATTCGCTCACTCTAGGATCTTCAAGAGCCTTACATTCATCTCTTAGTATCTGAGGAGGGCAATGTGCAGTAAAAGACTGTGCCATAAAAGACTGCAGTAAAAGCCAGCAAAGCAAACTCCAGAAGCCTTGGTCCCTGCAGGAGAGGATTCCACACCTTTTGGGGTAGTTTCCACTTTATTCCTGGCTGCTCCCCACCCTGCCCCACTTGGTGCTGTTTCCCAGGTAACCCAGCCTCAGAGGCAGTGGGGGGCCTTGCCAAGCCGGAGGAGGGGCTCAAGGCCTAGGACTGGCCTAGGACTTCCAGGAAGGTCCTGGTCTTCTCCTCCTCCTTCTTCCAAGCAAGAGGACAGGGAAATCCCAGGGCTGGGACTGCCTGCCTGGGAAAGGCCAGCCAGGGAGCTGTGAGTTAGAGCCGGGGTTACAGACATAGATAGGGATCTTGGGGAGAGGGCGGTAGAGAAAGGCCTTGGAGGTGGGAGGGGGGCTCCCAGGGAAATATGGCAAACAGAAAGGATTGCTAAGGAGGGGGAAAGGGGTGTGCCAGCTATGGGGGTCTGGCTTGTGCAGAAACTTCCAGGGACTTCACATCTGGTTGAGGCAGGGGTGAGAAGAAGGAAAGAAGGCTCAGCAGACAGGAGTTTCAAAAAGCCAGAGTGAGGGGCTGGAGGGGAGTGAGGCAGGAGGGGAGTGAAGGGCAGAAAGGGATGGATGCGGAGGCTGGGGAAAGTGTTCGAAAGGGAGAGTCCAGCCAGGAAAAAGAGAAAGAAAAGATCTGATAGAATGAGTACGGAAAATGAGGTGGTGGAGAAGGGATAGGGGCAGGTGGCTCTGCAGCGTGGTTCAGCTGCCAGGCTCTTACCTGCATCACAGGTGGAAGTGTGGGAGCCACCCGGCTGTCGGTTGTGAGCGCTCCAAAGCCTGCGGCTGCTGGGCCCCAGGCCAGCGCTTCCAGACCCTGCCTTCCCAAACCCCTAACGGCCCGGATAACTGAATGTCTCCTGGGAGGAAATCTCTTTCTAGAAGTGCCGGGTAGTGTGCGCTCTGGTCCTCGGGCGAGCAGGCGTGCAGGACGCTCCGGTAATCGCTATCCTTCCGGGAAACGAAAACGAAAGAGCGGGATCCGGCTTGGCTTCCACTCCCGCCCCGGCGGGCTTGTGGGAGGGCGGGGGCCAGCCCCTGCGGGAGCGGAGCCCCGGGGCGCTGTGGCTCTCGTCCTTCCGCCCGGTGGACAGCTCCTTGGGCAGCCTGGCCCTGGCTTCCAGGGAGATGAAGGTGGGATTCTACCGGATCTGGGGAGCCGAAGGAACTCCTGGTCCTGGGGTCAGGACCACGACAGATCGACATCTTGTCGCCTTTGTGCGTCTCCGCAGATAGATAGGAAGGGGACCGCTCATGCTGCCCACCAGCTGCCTCCCTTTAGGAGTAGGTGACTTTTGTCCACATGCCATTTGGCTGGGTGGAGGTGCCAAGTCCCTGAGCCGAAAAGCCACCAACAGAGCTGGCGTGGTGCCCCTCCTGACCTAGACCCCAGTGCTCAGTGGATCCCGACTGGCACATTTTCCCAGGCCTCTGGCTGCTCCGGGGGTGGTGCCCAGCTGCCCATCACCCATGTGCACCTGCCTCCGCTTCCTCTGTCTTGAGGGGAAACCGAGGGAGGTTGTAAGCACTAAACCAACTCAGCCATGGAAGAAAAGGAGGGAAGAAGCCCTAATAACCTTCTGCGGAAAAGTTGAGGGTGTAGCTGCTGTTGTAAAGAAGGCTTAGCTCCTAGAAATCAATAAGAACAGGGCCAGGTATACAACAGAAAAATGAGCAAAGGATTTGAATAGGCAGTTCACATGAAACAAAACACCCAATGGTCCCTGAACATAGAAAAAGATGTTCAGACTCATTCATGACAAAAGCCGTGCACATTAAAGTTATTCTGAGATTCATTTTTTTACTCATTAATCTAACAAAAATTCAAAAGTTTAATAACAATCTGTTGGAGAGCCTGAGAGGTACTTCACTGAACGTACAAAGTGGTATGACCCCAGGGAGGGCAGCATGGCAGGATCTAGCAAAGTTACTAAATGCATTTACCCTTAATCTGGCATTACCACCCATGGAACTATTACACACTATCGTGTGTGTGTGTGTGTGTGTGTGTGTATTTGTACAAAGACACTCCTGATAGGATGGATAATAAACAACATAATTGGGACTCAAAATACAAAACAAGAGCAAGCGTTTTCATGGCAAGCTTTTTAAAATTGTTTTGATTTTTATAATCATATGATTAAATACAAAGAAAGAAAGAACAAAAGGAAGGAAGGAAGGAGGAAAGAAGGGAAGGAAGAGAAGGGAGGCAGAGCAGGCTCTGGCCAGGTAGCCCAGGTAGCCAGGTTGGTTAGAGGATTGCCCCAATGCCAAAGTTGCAGGTTCAATCCCCAGTCAAGACACATACAAAAATCAACCAATGACGGCATCAGTAAGTGGAACAACAAGTCAATGTTGCTCCCTGCCCCTCCCTCATTTCTCTCTCTCTCTCTCTCAAATGAGTAATTTTTTTTAAAGTTAAAAAAAAAGAAGAAGAAAGAAGAAAGTTTTAAGGCTCTGTTTAACGTCAGCAAACCAAAACCTAGGTGGTGATGGAAATAAGTAGGCATTGCATGAGGCAAACTAAAAAAATGGGGATTTTTCCCCTTTGGGGGGACAAAGGTGATGCTACATATATCTAGTCTATGGAATTATGAACCTATGTGAACAGGAGTGAGTGGAATCCCTTCTTCACAAAAGTAATACGCATAGGTTTTCATGCTCAGTAAAATAATACTTTATTTTTAAGTAACACTTTTCTCACAAAGAACTTAAACACATATAGAACTTATAATTTATAACAACAAAAGTTCAAAATACTTGTAATACTTCTACTAGGGGAGAGAGAGGGAATATGAGGTAGAGAGGAAGGAAGAAGAACAGGGCACTGCGGATCCGGACATGAGCACTGAGCGTGGGGCCAGCAGGGCCGGGGGGCCAGGGAGCGGCCCAGGAGAACGCACCCATTTCCGTGATCTCTGGTTTGAGGATGAAGTTCAGTTTCCCTTGGGGAAGGAAATGGTCAAGATTTCCTCACAAGGAGCACTGCGCCCATCCACAGTGCCTCCTAAATGCACCTTGGGTTCTGCCGTGAGGCAGTCGCAGACGTCCCGTAGCCAGCTGCTCTGAACAGACGGATGGTTGGTGAGCCCACAGCTCTCTAAGGAACCAGACATAAACCAACAGTGATGGGTGAAAAAGAGGGGGAGACGGGGAAGGGTCTTCTTCTCATCTGTGCTGGTGGGATTTCTCAGAGGGTAGATGGAAAACAGGGCTTGATGCACATTCCTTTTACATCAAGTGGTCATTCCAGAGAAAGCGCAGCAACACGTGAACTCCTCCGAGGAGAACTAGGGCAAAATGAGCCAGTGCATCTCTGCCTTCCCATTGAAGATCCTGTTCAAAAAGAGAGAGACAGAGGTTTTTTAAAAAGGCAGTAGAATAATCCAAAGGAGAAATTCAGTATTAATATTAATTCAATTGATGTAAAAAAAAACCAAAAAACAAGCTTCTTGGGCTGCTTTAGGAACTGTATGAGCTAAAGGAGAGTATCATGGTCTGTTTAGTCATTTCCCTGTCCCCTGCACTGCCTTGGGGAGCTTCCCTCTGGATGAGTTTTCCCATCTCAACTTTCAGCAAAGGAGGACCCTTTTGCGGGGGCTGATGATGGCTTCCTCCAGCTTCCCAAGGACACTTCCTTAGTCCTGTCAAAGAAGCAAGGAAGTTCGCTTTGGGGTTGGAAGACCTGAGGAGACTTAGAGGGATAGAGAAGGGAGTGAAGAGGAGTAAATTTGGAGGTGACAAAGAGCACAGCAGTTTTGTGGAGCCATAAGCAAACACCACTGTTTATATGGGAGCATCCAGAGAAGGAGCCTGAGGGTCCATACAAAGGACTCTCCCAGTCCCTGCCCCTCCTCCTACTGTCCATTCCCAACGCAACAGCCCTAGGTGACTGCTGAAATGTGGCTTCTCTGCTCAGCGCTCTCCAGTGGCTCAGCCTCACTCAGAAGAGTCCTTAAGGTGTCCTGAAGGCCCTACCTAATCTGCCGCCAACCCTCCTCTCCACCCATATCTTTTACTACCTCCTCCCTTACTCAGCTTCAGCCACACTGGCCTCCTGGCGGTTCCTCAAACCTGCCGGTCTCCACCGCTTCCCCAGAAATCCCCGACTCCCTCCCATGCCGTGTCAGGTTTTGCTCAGAGGCCACCTTCTCAGTAAAGGCGTCCCTTAAACTCCTCTCCTCAAAACTGCAAATCCTCAACATTCCTCACCCCTTTCCTTGCTTTCTTTTTCTCCAAAATATTTATGACTGTCTGATAAATTACATACTTTATTTACTCATTTATTACTTGTCTCCCTTTTGGAATATAAACTTCATGAGATCAAGGAGTTCTGTCCCTTTTGACCACTGCCACGTCCAGTACCAAAACAGAGCCTGACACACGCCGGGCGCTCAATAAATACTAGTTGAATAAATGAATGAATAATAAATCATTAGCAGCAGGTTAAGGAATTTACACTTTGTCTTGTCAGTAACTGGGAATCACTCAAGGATTTTTTCCCTTTTATAACTGATATCAGTTAGGAAAATTGGATGAATTTCCTTCCAGCAAGGCAGACAAGAAAATGAGCACCGAGTCAGATGCTCGTATATTTAAATCCCAGTTTTGTCACTCAGATGCTGAGTGACCTGGGATGAGTGACCGAATCTCTCTGAACCTAAATTGCTTGTCCTGAAATACCTACATCAGTAATTGATAGGGTTATTGAGAGAATTAAATAAAAGGAAAAGTTCTGTTTTCCTTCTGCCCTCTGAGACTGTTTTCAAAGGGTACCTGGAAGAAATTATTTAATAAACGTTGGTTTCTCTCCCCTCTTCTTAATAAACTAAGAAGTCCCCTATGTGTTACTGTATCAGTCAGTGTCCCAGAGAAAACAGAGAAATTAGGATAATTCAGGCAGGGCCCAATAAAGAGACTGTCTACAAAGGGCATAGGGGGCCACGGGGCTGGTACCATACTCGGGATGGTAACCACAGAGTTGTCCCCACTCCTAGCCCTGCAGGGACAGGAAGGGGGCAGTTTCTGGAACCCAGAAAAAAATAGTCCTTCCTGTAGAGAAAACTTTCAAAGACGCATTTAAGATCCTAAAGGTGATGGGAAGACTATTATAAAACACATTACATATCTAGGAAAATGACATGCCCTGGATTTTAGAAAAATGATGAGGTCCTTGAATCAGAACCCTATATAACTAAATAGCAAAACAGATGTTATTTTGAGAATCAGGCCCATTTGAAAATACAGAATGCTTGCATAAGCGAAGAGAACAAGAAAGCGGATGTGTGGCAGCTCGAGGGCAATTGGTTCAGCAGACAAAACATGACCTGGTGAGCTTTTTGCGAGGGTGGTTCAAGGGCAAAACTAAAAGTTTCTTTAAATATATCAAAAGCAGGAAGAGATCTGGAGAATCAATGTGACCACTTGATTAAACAGAGTTCAGAAGGTGAATAAATGATGACTATACATAAAAACAGTGTACCATGCCAGATTCAAAATTCTTAAATTCAAAAATCTTAATTGTCAAAGTTGCTTGATTTCAGCCATGAAGCAGCAGAGTAAAGCTTTCAGCATTTTAGAGCCAGAGTTAGGGGAAATTTCTAAAATTATTTTTAAAAATATGATGTGGTCTATTTAAAATGTTCTAAAAGGCAATTTTGTGGTACAGGACAAGACATCTTTAAAAGTCTAGGTCAAAGCCAGCTTTATAAAATGCTGCAAGAAAAGGTAGGCAGGCATGAGGATAGACATATAGATCAATGCAGTGGAACTGAGAGTCTAAAAATAAACCCTCACATTTACAGTCCATTGATTTTTGACATGAATGCCAGGGACAGAAGAGTCTTTTCAACAAATGGTACTGGGACAACTGGAAACTCACATGCAAAAGATTGAAGATGGACTTTTAACTCATACCATATGCAAAAATTAACTCCAAATAGATCAAAGATCTAACTTTGAGAGCTGAAACGACAAATCTCTTAGAAGAAAACATAGGTGTAAATCTTCATGACTTTGAATCAGACAATAATTTCTTACATATGACACCAAAAGCACTAGAAACAAAAGAAAAAAATAAATTGAACTTCATCAAATTAAAAACTTTTGTGCTTCAAAGAATACCATCGAGAAAGTGCAAAGCACCTACAGAATGGAAGACAATATTTGCAAATAATGTTTCTCGTAAGGAACTTACACCCAGAATACATAAAGAACTCCTACAACTCAATAATAAAAGACTTTTAAATGGGCAAAGGATCTGAATAAACATTCTCCAAAGACATACACAAATGACCAAGAAGCACATGAAAAGATGCACATTAGCCATCAGGGAAATGCAAATCAGCACTGCAGTGAGATACCTCTTCAAACTCACCAGGCTGGCTATAAAAAGAAAGACTGCCAATAACAAATGTTGACAAAAATGTGGAGAGACTGGAACCTTGTACCCTGCCAGTCGGAATGTAAGTAGGCCAGTCGCTTTGGAAAACAGTCTGGATGCTCCTCCAAAAGTTAAACATAGAGTTCTCATTTAGCACAGTAATTCCACGCCCAGGAATGTACCCAAAAGAACTGAAAACACATTCTAGACAAAAACACGTACCCGTACCCAAATGTTCATAGCAAAGTGGAAACCACCCAAATGTCCATCAACTGATAAGGAAATAAAATGTGAAATATACATACAGCAGAATACTATTGAGCAATAAAAAGAAATGAAGTATTGACATGTGCTACAACATGGATGAACTTTGAAAAACATTATGTTGCCCTGTCCAGTGTGGCTCAGTTTGTTGGGCGACATTCCGCAAAGTGAAAATCGCCAGTTCAATTCCTGGTCAGGGCACATGCCTGGGTTTCAGGTTCCGTCCCCAGTCGGGGAGTGGTCAAGAGGTCATTGATCAATGCTTCTCTCACTCTCTTTCTCCCTCCCTTCCTCTCTCTCTAAAAATAAAATTTTAAAAGAAAAAGTAAAACAGTATGCTAAGTGAAGGAAGCCAGGTGCAAAAGACCACATATTGTATGATTCCACTTACATGGAATGTCCAGAATAGGCAAATCCATAGAGAGGGAAAGTGAGCTGGTGAGGCTGGAGGAAAAATGGGGGGAAATGAGAAGTGACTACAATTGTGTTTGGGGTTTCTTTCTAGGGTGATAAAAATATTATATAATTGATTGTGATGATGGTTGTACAACTCTGTGAATATACTAAAAATCATTAATTGTACACTTAAGTTGGTGATTTGTATGGTACGTAAATTTTATTTCTCAATGAAGTCATTTTTTGAAAAAGAAAGAAAAGCTGATACCATTCGGTGTTGATTTACTCAGCTGCAGAGATAAATTTAAGACTTAGAAGTAAATTACAACTTTAGAAGATAAAGGAAGGAAAGAAAAGGAGGCAAAATGGAAAAGGAGGTTATGCAGAGCAGCAACCTTTTGATCAGGTTGAGTCAAACAGAAAGCAGGTGGTCGTGATTTGTCCTACTCTGGTCCCTCCTTTTCAGAGAAAAATATTAGCAGGACACATAAATATTCAAAATTAGCTGATGAAGAAACAGGAAAGTTGAACTACAGAATTTCCTGGAATGAAAAGTGAAAACTTTCCTATATAAGAAATTGTAGTCAAAAGGGAAGGGAGGCGATGAATACCATGAGTATATTGCAAGAAATGATACACGGTAAAGAGATATTCAACTCCAAATATTGAAAGGGCAAAGACCAAAAACAAATAAAAAATTTGTTTGGTTTAGCTAACATATATTGATCATTTTCTGTGGGGCAGGCTCTGTACTAAGTGATTTACATAGGTTCTCTCATTGAATTTTCGTAACAGCCATGTAAGGTAGGTACTGTCACTATCTCCAAGTTACACATGAGAGCCAGGGAGGTTAAGTGACTTGCTCAAGTCCACACAGTAAAGAGTGGGGAGTCAGACTTTGGATCCAGTGCTGGGACCCTAAAGCCAGCACATTTAACCCCTTACAATGCGGTTGAAGATTCAGTGAGCAGCAAGTCCCTTGTGTAAGGGACTGTCTGCTATGTGTTTGGAGCTTCTGGTGTAGCACTCAGATGTGGTTGTCCATTGAGGTCAGGGAGTAAGGCTTTCAGGTGAAGTCTCTGAAAGGGGTCCTGTACAGAAAAGTTATAGAGGTAGGAAGGCACACCCACCTCTCTCTGGGCCTCAGGCTCTCGGGGTGGCCCCCCAGGAGAAAAGAGAGTCAAAGAGTCGACAGCATTGGAGTGGTGTGTGTGTTTTGGAACCAGCGGACACGGGTTCAGGTCCTAATTCCGCAACCTACCAGCTGTGTAACTTAGAAGTTACTTTACTTCTCCGAGTCATTAATTTCCTCATTTGAAATGTGAGAATAGTAATAGTCCCAGCTTCATTGGTGGTTGTAATTAAATAAAAACAATGCAAGTGAACCCCTTAGCATGGCCTCTAGCAAACAGCAAGCCCTCAGTAAGCACTAGCTATTATAACATAGCTTTAGCTTATCCTCCAAATAGAGTTGGGCAGGGAGCAAGGTCATTATCGATCCTGTGAGCCCCGAGGGAAAGCAATACTGTATAATCCAAATCCTTATCTCAAGCTTCAGTGTCTCCTCTAACTCCAGTTTGGTTCTTACAACTCAACCTCACAACGTCTCAATCTGTGTCTAATAGGAACTTCAGACTCAACGGAACTCTGTATTTCCCTCCAAATCTGTCCTTCACTTTTCCCCATCTCAGTAAATAACACTACCACCCATTCAGATGCTCAAGCCAAAACCACTGAGGTAATTTACTCTTTTTCTTTCACTCCATACATCCAATTCATTAGCCGATCCTGCAGGCGCTACTTTTAAAATTCATCCTGAACCTGGTCATTTCTTACCACCTCCACTGCTATGGCTGGTCTCAGCCTTTGGGAGGTTCTCCTCTGCGTCTCCAGCCCCCGCATACAGCCTATTCTCTGCACCACACCAGTCTCCACCCTAAATGTAAATCAGCTTCTGACACTCTCCTGCTCCAGAAGTTTCCTTACATTTAGCATAAAACCCAAACACCTACCACCGCCTCTAAGACGAAGGCCAACTCCCAGACCTTACCTCACTCCAGCCACTCTGGCCTCCTCGTTGTTCCTTGAGCCTGGTCCTGTAACAAGGGTTTTGTGCCCACTGTTCCCTCTGTCTGGGACACGTCCCCCCCTCGAATTCCCATGCCTTGCTCCCTCAGTTCCAATGTCTGCTCAAGAGATATCACCCTCTCTGGTTACCCCTCTAAAATCCATCTCCAGCACTCAGTAGCTTCTAACACCTGCTTTGAGTCGGCATCCTGCCTGACCAGACTGTTTATCAGTCCGTCCGCTGTGTTGTCTGTCTCCCTCCTCGACTTTGACATCTGCAAGAGTAGCCTCATCGTCCACCCTGCTCTCTGCTCCAGCACCAATGCCTGGAACTGAGCCTGGCGTAGAGCAGGTGTTTAATAAGTATTGTTTCAATAAAATTGTTCTATGGAATGTTTTATTTGACTGTGTATTTATTTCATCTTTGTTTCCTTCTTGCTTTTAGTAGTGTTGTTGGGACCTGCCATTCATATTTTGTCTCAGGGAATGTTTTATTTCAGAGAAAGGATGCCTATTGTCCACATTTGGACCAGAACGTGAAAGAACACAAGGCTCTCCCTGAAGCCAGCATGGTGGCTGCAGCAGTGATGAGCAAGAAGTCATCAGAGGACAGGCAAATTTACAGTCAAGAAGGTAGGCAGAGGGGCAGCCACCCCTCCCGTAACCGAGCCACACGTGACCCTTCTCTCTCTGCTGCCAACTACAGGTTGCTGAGGAAACTTAAGTTGGCTGCGGATTTCATCACCCCTAACATTTCAAGCAGTAAGCATTATTCTTTCCTGTTTCCCTTGTTATCTCTTATCATAATCAGGAGAAACTAAGAGATCGATGGGAGTGGGCTTAAGTCATACCTCTGGGTCGGTTCTGGAGGATTACTACAATCTAAGGCACAGGCTGTCCTCCTTAACTGAGCATTCAGTCCACCCAGGGAGCTTTTAAAATGTCTGATGCCCAGACCACACCTCATGCCAATTAAATCAGAATCTCTCAAGGTGGGGCCCAGGCATCTGTAATTCTTAAAATTCCACAGATAATTCTAATAGGCATCCCAGCTTATAGGTGTGGAGCAAAGTCTCTCACACTTTAATGTGCACTCAAATCCTCTGGGGTGTGTGTACAAAAGTACAATAGATTGTGATTCCAGTGTTGTGGGCAGGCATTCTGCACATCTGACCAGCTGCTATGTGATGCTGAGGCTCCGTGCACATGGACCGCAGTTTGAGAGGCAAGTGTGAGGTCAAATAGTGACCTTGAGTCAGGTTCACAATTTTCAGAGCTAATGTTTGGTAATCCAGACATTATTAATCCATGTGCTCTGCTAATTCCTGGGCATCCCAGCCACTTGGCAGCCATTGTTCTGTCTGCTCTTCCTCCTGCCTGCCAGGCCCTTGCTGGAGAAACAGAGGTCTCACCTCTCGAACCATCCTATGGTCAATGCTGTCTCCAATGTTTTTCAGCTGCATGGCCAACTTGTGGATTATCTCCTCCTGGTGATGGTTCTGGCTGATACTGTTTTCCTTGGGCTGAGAAGGAGAGTTGTGATCTGCGTTAAGAGAAAAGAGTTCAAGAGAGATACTCCATCACCTATCTGTGAAGCTACTCACCACTAGTTACTACAATCTGTCTTAGATATGAGATGAAAACCCATCATCATAATGATTATCAAAAAACAAAGCCTTTCTTTGGAATAGATCAGTTCTGTTCAACAGAAATATAATTCAAGCTATGTACTAATTTTTAATATTCTAGTAGTAAAATCAGATAAAATTAATTAGTAATACATTTTACTTATGCCAACATATCCCAAGTATTATCATTGCAACATAAAATCAACATAAAATTATAAATGATATGGTTTTTATTCCTTTTATTATAACTAAGTCTTCAAAATCTAATGTTAAGTTAGTCTTATGACACATCTCAATTCAGAAGATAACTTTTCATTGGAAAACCTTGATCTGTATTTAGATTTCACAAAGTTCATATTTTAAAAAGTACATTCATATGTTCAAGTTGTTCAAAACATATCTGAAAGCTTTCCAACAATTAAACCAAGCATCAGTTTTTAAAGTTAATTAAAAGTAAATAAGACTTAAAGTTTTGCTCTTTAATTGCACTGGCAGCATTTCAAGTGCTCAAAAACCAAATGTGATTAGTAGTCATTGTGTGGGATAGGTCTGGATCTCTGCAGCTTTTTAAAATAGATTTTTCTATTTTTTTAACCCACTATTCTTAAGTGAGTTCTTCCAAATGCTATTTGCTTCCAGCAACCAGTGTGTACTTTTAAGCAACTCTGTAAGTAAACTACTGTGCTGGGTGCTCTGGGGAACTTATAAAAAATAAAAAGACAAGGTTTCTGTCAAGTTGCTCACAGCACACTGGTTAGAGATGAAATAATTCCCAAGTGCATTAGGAATTCAGAGAAGGAAATAAGTTCGGGCTAAAGTAGACACATAGATGGCTTCATAAATACAGCAAGTTTTGCTTTGAACCTATTTTGCTCCAATAAAATTTGAGGACTTCGGTTTTTCAGGTTTTGTGCTGAGAAAAGAAGACTTGTCTTCAAAGAAGCTAGTAGAAGAGAGAGACAAACTACAGTTCAACATGTTATAGTAAGGGCAGGGCCTGCACAGAGGTCAGGGGAGGCATCCCAGTGGAGGTGATGTTGCAATTCAGTCTTGAAGGATGAAGGATAAATAAGAATTAGCCAGGAGAGGAAGACTGAGATGGGGCCAGAGCCAGCTGGGAGGGGGTGGCAAATAGAACATCCAGGCAGAAGGTTCACATGAGCAAAGACATGAGGTGAAAGAGAGGTTTTGTGTACAAACTCGGAGTGGTGCTATTGTCGAAAAGCAGGGAGTAATAGGAAGGCTCATAGAGCAGGCAAGAGCAAAATCATGAAGGCACAGTAAGAGTCCTGGGCGTTATCCAATAGAGCAAGAGACCCAGTGAAGGATGTTAAGAAGGAAATGATATGATCAGGTTGGCTTTCTGGCTATTTCCTTCTGGGATCAGAGTGGAGAATGGTTAAGACAGGCAGGGAAGGCATTTAGAAACTACTATGAAGTCCTGAGGAGGGATGATAAGGAGTTGCCTACCAATAATTAACACGCTTACCACATGCCAGGTCATACATGCATTATTTCACTGAGTACTCCCTCACAATGATCCCCATGAGGTCATTTTACCCCCCATATTACAGATGAGAGAGCTGTGGTGTAGAGAGTACTTTTCAATCTTGGCTCCACCTTAGAATCCCTGGTGGGGTTTGGAGGGATGCTTTTAAAACTCCCAATGCACAAGTCTCACTCCATTCCAAAGAAATTATTTTCCTGGGAGTTGGACCAAGTATCAGTACTTTTTTTTCTAAAGCTCCCCAAGTGGTTCCCATTTGCAGCCAAGTTGAAAGACAGCGGTTTATAAAATGGTTGAGTGCCTTGCCTAGAGGTTAAAAGTCAATGAGTCTGAGAGGCAGGATATAAACCCAGGTCTGAACTAAAGCTGTACTAACAGGGGTGGAATGGTGAGGACAGATTCTATAAATAGTTAGGAAGCAGAATATTCTGGAATTTGGTAATAGATTAGACAAGAAAGGCGAGGGAAAGGGAAACTCCTACTTTTCCAGCCCTGCAGACTGGAAGGGTGATGGCACCATCAGACTGTACAGAGAACAGGGGTCAGGGAAGGGCAGGCATGGAAGGCAGAGGAGGTGGGTAGAAAGAGAAAAAACAAAATTTGAGTTCATTCATAAATTTAAGGTACCTGTAGGACATCTTAGCAGGCATCTGGATAATATTTGAAGCTCAGATGTCAGAAATTAAAGATTGAAAAGTCTTTGTTCATTTGTTCACTTAATAAAAATGCAGGAAAGTGGATGAGATATTTCAGTTTGTTTAGCTGAAGACAGAACCTCTGGATAAGACCAACTGGAAACAAGGTAGGCAAAGGAACAAACGCCCACAAAAATGACTGAGAAAGAATAGTCAGAGATGAAAGTGGAATCAGGAAAAATAGTGTTTCTAATCATCTTTCAAATCTTGTTGAAAATTTTCTTCTAAAATGTATAATAGTAGTGGACATTGTTACTTGGTTAACTATAGTATAAAGAATATAACTCTGTGTGTGTGTGTGTGCGCGCGCTGCTGCTGCTGCTGCTGCTGCTGCTGCTGCTGCCGCCGCTGCCCCAGAATCCTGAAACACAGCTTGGGATCCTTGCATTGAAGTTGCCAGTGATTGTCTGACTTAACCATACCACTTTCCAGGAGAACCTGACCTGTTGCCTAAGTAATCAGGTTCTTTCATACATGGCCCCACCCAACCCCAGGCCAGAGTTGAATGGATAAGAGATGGTTACCTGACCCAAGAACCAATAATCCTTTGGCTGACCGGGTACTCAGAACCTAGAGCCAAGAGGGAACAGGATCCCTTCCTCTCTGTTCAAGGCCAGCTTCCTCGCAGTTCAATGAGACTCGGGAAACTGAGAGAAGAGTTGACAGTGGGACTAGGAATGCCATAGAATTATGTTGGGCTCAGAATAAGTCAAAGTCACTTGCAAGTGAAAATTATGAAGGGGAAGGAAACAGTTAAAGGTGCGGCAGGGGAAGCTGGCTGATAGAGGAGAACCTAGCAGACACTCAGGAAGACTCAAAAAAAAAAAAAAAGAAAGAAAGAAAACAATTCCTAACTTCCTCACAGCAGCCTCAGAACCTAAACTCTCCACGTTCAGTTCTTTTTCATAAGCATCCTAACCAGAAACCACAGTTTTCTAGAGTTAACTAGAATAGGTTTCTCTTCCCTGCAACCAAACAAATAACCATAAATGCTACATTAATGCCCTTTGTCCAGAACTCTCCAATGTCAATAAATTGTGTAGGAGATTGTGCTAGCTATAAATCAACTTCAGGGCAGAGTCTGAAAGTGAAATTAAAAAATTAAATTCTGTCCTCAATGCTGTGGCTCAGTGGATTGGGCATCATCCTACAAACTGAAAGGCTGCAGGTTGAATTCCCAGTCAGGACATATGCCTGGGTTGCGGACCAGGTTTACAGTTGCAGACATGAGAGAGGCAACCGATTGATGTTTCTCCCACTCATCAATGTTTCTCTCCCTCTTTTTCTCCCTCCTTTCCCCTCTCTTGAAAAAATTAAAATGAAATAAGACCCTGGCTGGTGTTGCTCAGAGGACTGAGGGCCGGCCTGCAAACCAAATGGTCGCAGGTTCGATTCTCAGTTAGGGCACATGCCTGGGTTGTGGGCCAGGTCCCCGGTTGAGGGCATGTTATAAGCAACCACACATTGATATTTTTCTCCCTCTCTTTCTCCTGCCCTTTCCCTCTCTCTAAAAGTAAATAAATAAAATCTTTTTAAAAATAAATAAATAAAGTCTATAAAAAAATGAAGTTCCTGATACTAGTGTCTTGTATTTTTTATTATGGTTATTAATCCATTCCTAATAGAAGTTGAATGCAAAATGGATTGAGCTCTGCTGTACTCAACCTATACATGGAATTACTTGCTGGCTACAGAGCTGGTGTACCTGTCCTGCAGACATTTATACAATAAAATGCCATATTTTGCCATGTACAATGTGAACCCACATTTTTGGGCATTACACATGGCATTAGTATATCCATGGTATGTAATCATTATAACCATGTATAATGTGCATCCTATTTTTCCCTCAAAAATTTGAGCAAAAAAGTGCACATTATACATGGCAAAATGTGGTAGCTATGTCACCATATTATAAGATAATAGGAAAGAAATCATTAAATCAAAGTTCTAAAGTGATAATATATTGAAGTGAGAAGTCATGTGGTAAGATCATTAAAATGAGTGAAATTAAAAAAAAAGCAAAACTCTGTATTATTTTCCAAGCATTGAATTTTTAATATCCCAAGGAAAAAAGTATCTCACTTTATGCTGGAAAGTTGTATGAATGTGTAGAGTTCTGAAAATCCAACCATAATCTAAATGGCCTGGTGAAGAAGTTGGGAAATAATCTCACACTTAATCTTTTTGTAAGAATAATTCCTCAATGCATTGGAACTTTTAAAAATATTGCTGTACATTGAGAATCCTAACGTTGACCAGTTGTCCCTTCAGTTACATTTACGGGAAACGTTTTAGCAAACATGCACTTAAGGTTTTATAAGTGCTTTTCCATTGCCAGCTATAATGTGAATGTTTTATTTTCTCACATGGTGGTCATCCTTTTAGAATCTTGATTGCGTTCACTAAAAGTAAAGGTCTAGAGACTTCTGGTTCAACACTAAGCACAAGCATTGGCCTCTCCCTTTCTTCTATTCCCTCCAAAACCCCACCAAATAGTAAAGTATAAAAAAAGAGTAAAACCTCAACAATGCAGAGAATGGAAAGCAAGGTCAACAGCACATGAGAAATCTGTATATGTTTGTGAAAGGCAGAAAGGAGATGAGACAAGACATGAACAAATGAGCCAGGCAGAGAATCTCCCACTGAGGCCAGAAGCCCATCTACCCACTAAGACCCCGAGGCTGGGAGCGGCAGACACGCCACTGACGGG